AATATGCCCTTATATCAATAGCGCATATGCTACCAAGAAAAAAACGAATCTTATTCATAGTAGCCTCAAAAACAGTAACAAAAACCAAACATAAACTTAACAAAGGAAATAAGAGACTTATATCATAGAAACTCTAAAATAGTGGATAAAGATTTAAAGAAGAAACTCTTAATAGATTAACGGCTATATTGCCAAAAACAGTCTACAGATTCAGTATGGCCTTTATCAAATTTTTTTTTTTGAGACAGGGTTTCTCCATGTAACCTTGGCTGTCACTTTGTAGACTAGGCTAGTCTTGAGCTCACAGATGCCCCTATCAAAAGTTAATGTTGCTCTTCACAGAAAGAGGAAACATCCTTAAATTAATATGGACTCACAAAAGATGCTGAATACCAAAGTAACCCTAAGCAGTGACAGCAATGCTGGAAGTATTTCAGATTATATTAGAGGGCTACAGTAACAATACCAGCATGGTACGGATACAAAACTAGACAAACAAGCCAATGGAATAAACCAGAGACTCCAGAAATAAACCCCCTATAGCTTCTTGATTTACAACAAATATGCCCAAAATATATGTTAGAGAAAAGATAGCTTTCAACAAGTAGTGTTGATAAACAAAACAGGCCGTTCACATGTGTGAATCTGAAACTAGATCATTCTCTCACCCTGTGTACAAGTCGATTTATAGTGAATCAAAGACCTTCGTGTAAGACCTGAAAATTTAAAACAGGTAGAAGGTAAAAACAACAACAACAACAACAAAAGCCAAACAAACAAACCAACCAACAAACAAAAAAACCAACAAAATGAACAACAAGGAAAAATTTCAAGATGTAGGTGTTGACACAAAAACAGAGCTCTCATCTACAAGGGGATAAGCAATTGTTTATTTTGGAGCCAAGTATAAGTGACCATGGCTCCACAACATAGATTTAGTTTACTCCAAATTCTGTGTGCCAATGAGGTAGCATTTTAATGAACTTCTTACAGTGAGAGAACAAAAGAAAGTCATAGCCAAGGTATTTCCCAAATAGTTTGGTGGGTAGAGCAAGGATGTGGACTAAAGCAAGATGGAACTCTGCTTTAAGCCTTTAATGCTTTCTGATAATGCCTTCTCCCTTTGGCTGGTGGGAAACTAGGGTTTTGATAAGTTAATACATTCCATTTTTTTAAACCTGGCTTTATCTGTTAGTGATGGAGTATTTGTTCTGATACCAAGGAGGGCAAGAAAGGGTTATTTTGTAGACTGAAGACAGCTCAAGATAAACTGCAGCCAGGCTTTGGGTCTGCAGTACCATGCTGTCTAGGTGGCTGAAGTTCTCGTCAGTCCATCAGCCTTTGGAGACACAGCTTCTTTCCAGGAATTCTCGTTCACATAGGCACAGGCAAGGACTTTCTGAAAAGGACTCTAATAGCTCAGGCAACAACTGCAGGAATTGACAAATGGGGATTGCATGAAATTAAAAAGCTTTGGCACAGCAAAAGAAACAATTATCAGGGTGAAAAGTCAGCCTACAGGATGGGGGAAAATCGTTGGTAGCTATTCATCTGACAGGGGATTAATATCAGGAGCATTTAAGGAACTAAAGAAATTAAACACCAAAAGACAAATCATCCAATAATGAATTGAGCAGGCAGTTCTCAAAAGAAGTAGCACAAATGGTCGATAAGAGCCTAAAAAAAAAAAAAAAAAAAAAAAAAGCTCAACATCCTTAGCCATCTGGGAAATCCTAGTCAGAACTACATGGAGACTACCTATCATCCTACTAAGAAAGGCTGTGTTATAGCTTGCTTTTCTGTTGCTGTGATGAAATACCCACGGACTGAAATCAATTTAGAGCAGGAACAGGTTTATTTGGCTTATACTCCCAGCTCACAATCATTACTAAGGGAAGTCAGGGCAGGAACTCAAGCAGGAACTGAAGCAGAAGCCACGGAGGAACGTTGCTTGCTGTTGCTTCATTCACTGGCTTATGCTCAGCTATCTTTCTGCCTAGGGATGGTTCTTCCCACAGTGGGCTGTGCCCTCCTACATCAATTAGCAGTCAAATCAATGACCCACAGTAGGCTGTCAGGCCATTTCGATGAGATTTTCTTTCCCCAGTTGACTCTAGCTTATGTCAAGCTGACAATAAAATCCAAGCAGTGCAGGATATCATCAAGAAAATAACCAAGTCCTGGGGCTTATACCCTGCTGGCTGGTGCACTTATACTTGTGCAGTACCTGTGGAAATAAGTATGGCCGTTCCTCAAAGAACTAAAAGCAGTTGTGTAACATGCTCCACCATTCCCATTCCCGGATCTTAAGTCAACACACCACAGACACTTGAACGCATCTTTGTTTATATGGCACTGTTTGCAATAGCCAAGGCATGGACTTAGCTCCCTTCTCCATCAGAAGGTGAGTGGATAAAGAAAATGCAGCATGAACACACAATGGAGTTTTATTCAGACCTGCAAAGGATGAATTTTTCATTTTTCATTTTTGCAGGAAAATGGATGGAGCAGGAGATCAAGTGAAATAAGCCAGATGGAAAAAGATGAATATAGCCTGTTTCATACCTGGGATCTAGATTAAAGGATACATAAAAAGATGTGAAAACGGACAGGAGACTGCTTGGGGAGAGGAAGATGATTAGTGGGAGTTGGGCAGGAAAGAATAACAAGGATGAATAAAGGCAAAATGCATGACACGCGTTTCTACTCGTCATAGAAAAACCCGTTGAACAATGAATATATCCCAAAAAGATAGAACCATTTCCTCACAAGAGTTCTAGATGCAACACTACAGTACTTGGTGAAGGGTTTGAAATGTCATGAACTCTCAGTGCAGGGAGATGGGATACGAGGAGAGGAGAGGTGAGAAGCTTGGAGAGGGAGTTCCATGTATCAGCACTGACGTGGAGAGGAAGGGACAGTGCCATCGGGACAGGACGCTGAGCAGTTTTCTGGAATCAAAGGATACTGATGCCAGGCTGAGGACACATGGCCATGACCAGTGGCTCTGTGATCAGACTCAGAGTAGAAGTCTGGAGCACGCATGGCAAAGCCATGCTGGGCTCTTGGAGGAAGAATAGGACATGAAGGATGCGTGATCAGACTGCTCTGGATTTTAACAATCATGCTGAGGGCACAAAGACTAAGGGCGGTGATTTTCAGTTCATGGTGCAAGAGGGTGGAGAGATTCCTGGAAACTGAGGACTCAAAACTGCACTTGCCAAATGCTTTTTGGTGAAGAAATTGTCAGGAAATGTGAGCATCCTGGCTTTGGGCTGCCTGAAGGCTATCTCTGCTTGGATAGCATAAGCCACTGTGGCAAGTTCTAAAACTAACTGTCCTGGAAAACCCTATGCTGCAGAGGTCGGGGTACCTCTGGGAGTGTTCAGAGGCAGAAAGTGTTGAGTGGCCCTGGCCCCTTCACCATGCCCACATTTAGCTTGCCAAACCCCAGCCCCATGTCAGAAGAGACCTTATCCATTCCAGGGAGATGAGGCCAGACCATGCCCCAGGCTGACCTCCAGCTCCAGCTGCCCTCACCTCCAGCCACTGTCCCTGGCTGGAGAGTTACTTCAATGAATCTATAACTGTACCCACTTGCATGGTACTCTTTTTGTTTGCTTGTTTTCTTTCAATTTCTTGACACAGGGCCTTCCTTTGTCACCCAGGCTGCCATGGAACACACTCGGTGGTCCAGGTTGGCTTCGACTTCATCGTGATCCTCCTGCCTCAGCCTCTCATGTGCTGGTATGACAGACACTCATGTCAGACTCAGCTTTGCTGTGTAGTTCTTCAATGAATCCAATATACTTCCCAATGATGAAATAATAATAAAAAGTACTCGAGAAAAAAAGGAATGGGGTGATCATAGCCTTTGCTCCCTCTGAAGTCCACAATGAGACTGTTCAGATTTCGCTGGAAACCAGGCAGCTCATCAAGTCTGCTCTCTGCCACCTGGGCTAACTCTTCAAGCTGCCATTCCTCATTCTGTAAAACTGTGGCATAAGAACCTCTTGATGGGGGCTGATGCACCTCTTTCTGTAATAACAACCACCCAGTAAATTGGCTGAGCTCAGGGCTATGCAAAACACCCAAGGAGCCAAAGTTCTTCCATCCTGATGGGTGTGTGAGTTTTGCATAGGGCCCGGACCACCTGTGTCCCATCAGCAACCTAGGGTCCATTTCCATCTAGCTACTTATCATACCCATAGTCCTTTAGAACCTCTGTCTGCCTCCTGCCCTTGAGTGGGAATAGCTTCCACGGCTCAGTATAGCACTGTGCTGGGTATGGTTTTGATGTGGCAGCGAGGATGGCATTACAAAATTTCTCCCTATTGACACTGGTCTTTTGAGCTACTCAATGTGATACAGCCAGAGAAATAAGCGAGGTCTCACTTGTAGAAGACCAGGGCTTGGACTTTGGTACGCCTTGGTGAAAGTCACTGTTCTCTGGACATCATTTGTGCCTCATGTATACAGTAGTTCAACACGGGACTTCCCGGGGCCAGTGGATCTAAAGAAAGCCACCTACCCCAAGACCCTGGAGGCCATTATGGCCTACAAAATGGTGGTGGCGGGGCATTGATACCTCCGGTTCACACCTGGTTTGGTGGGCTGCGGCAGCTGAGACCCAAGCTTGGGCGTCTCCAACAAGGAGGAACCCAAGAGGCAGGAGCTGCAGCTGGGTTAGGGACTGAAGAGTGGATGAGACTGGCAATAAGCCTTTCAGATACTGGTGTATGGGCCATCAGAGAAGGGATGGTGAGGAAGAGACATTCTAAGAGAGAGAGGGTGGGCAGGCAGCCAGATGGCTGGTTTCTGCATATGAGTCTAGACAGTTCCCCTGAAGAGACCACTTCAAGGACACGAACATACAAAACAAAAACAACACCAGGGAGAGCTCAAGAAGTCTGCACCCACAGGTTTGGACACCCCCAGTCAACTGACTGAACCCGAAAGCTCTTGGGGAGCCAGTCTGTGTGCACGGGACGGAGACCTACTGTGGACTTGGTCATGTGCTCCAGGGCCAGTTGCATGAAGTACTCCTGCCAGTTCTCCTCCAAGACGTCACGGGCTCGAATAACGGCCTTCAGGACCTGGAACAGCCGGAATCTGTGCCGGTTGGAGATCTGTGGAAGACAGAGCTTATGTTGAGACCACGGTGTCTGACAGTACAGGGGATGCCAAGGAGAACACCGGTGGGAGGATTTGAAAAGGAGGCTGGAGGGAGGGAGCACAAGAGGGTGCATTCATTTGGCAACTCTTAGGAGATACCTGCTGCATACGCAGACCTTAAGCCTGACCTACAGACCCTAGAGGAAGGAAATCTTGCTTCTGTCCCCAGGGAGCTGCTGTGGATTTAAAAACTCCACCTCCAAAGTGATGTCATCTCCTCATCAACACTTAGGCAGGTTTCCCTCATTCATGCATGAATGCACTTATGTATCCAAGCATTTATAAGTGAACCCATCCATCCCCATATTTACTCACCACCCACGGATTCCTTCTTTCCCCCCTACATCAACCCACCTCTCCATCAATCACTATGTCCATCTGCTTGCCAATCTGTCCACCCAACCCTATATCTACCCGTCAATCCATCATCCACCCATTTGTTTACCTTCCACCCACCGATGTATTCACCCATCAGTTTCTACCATTTACTGATTCTGTGACCTTAGGCAAATCCCTCCTCTCCCCTAAGCCAGAGTTTCTCATCTTTGAGAGTTATTGCCTCTACCTCACAAGAGTGCTCTGAGCATGGTGAAGGTAAGTGGGGACATTTCCTTCCTCCTTAGCCTATTGGCATGCAAAGAGACTGAGATTTTGTCAGAATGATGCACTGTCTCCATGTAGGATTCAAGGTCTGAACACCCCTTGTGGTTCAGTGTTGCTCTTTGCTCCCATGTCTGCTCTAGGGGACTAAGCAACACTACCTCTGGGTTGTCTCTGAAGTAATCATAGATGGTTTCCATCACTAGGTTGGGGGACCTTTGAGCCATCTTCTTTATCTTCTTGGTGATGTACTTGAGTTGGAGAATGTCTGAGGTGCCTATGTCCCGGAGCATCTTGAAGCAGATTGCTAAAGTTTACAAGAAGAGTGTGAGGATTGGTGGGCCTTTGGGAAGTCATATTGTGGCAGAGGGTTGGATGGGGAGGGAGGGACAAGCATATAATGAGAGTGAGAGCTGGGCACATTGGGAAGTCATCTGATATTCTGATAGCTGGTCCCTCATGGGGTTAAAGATGAGACAGAGTAGGAATGCATGCTCATCTGCATATTCTTATTCTCATCATATTTCCCTCTAGCCACTTATTTATCCACCCACCCTCCACCCACCCATTCATCCTTACTTCTCTGTATCCAGTGATCTAGCTCTTTATTTCCTGTCTGTCCAGTTCATATTTATTTAACCATCCATTTACTCAGGCACTCCCGAATCCACCATTCAGTAGATCTGTCCATTCATACACCTAGTGAACTGTATCTATTAATGCATATTTTGATCCATTTAACAATATATCTGCCCATGTAGTCATAAATTCACTCAAAAAAAACCCCATCTCTTTATCCTTCCATACACCAATTTTTTGATTTCTTTTGATGTCTATCCAGTCATCTTACACTCCTTGGCACTGGAATGCTTATTCTAGGAAGAGGGGTCCAGGTCTAAGCTGAAGTTCTGAGGTATAAAATGGGTGGAGGGGAGGTTTAGTTATGGGGAGGAGAGGGCATTTTTTATTTATTCGTGGGTGCCTCAGGAGCCAAAAGCAAGCCATGGGGCTCACAGACAGCTGTACATGTCCGCAGCCTTTGTGATGGCCAAAGTCTTAGAGAGGGTCTCCTTCCACTTTTCACCCTCAGGTCTGCTTCTGTCGAGGGACCTGGTGGGGCCTGTTGTCCTGTATTCCAGGCCATCCTCACCTGAGTTGTAGGCAACCTCCACTAATATCTGGTGTTCTTTGGGCACCAGGGAATCCTGACTGCTCTTGGATTTGCACAGCAGGATGGTGGCAGGGTGGGACTCTCTGTCCCAGGAAACATAGTCTTGAGGTTCCTGGGTCCATGAGGACTTCTTCGTACAAACGGAAACGGGGGAGAAGATTCTGAAATGGAGCAAGTTCTGTGTGTAAACATCCCGTGCACTTATGTGTGTGTTCAAGTGCAGGGGGCACTGGCACCATTTGGCTCTGGGTCAGGCTCAGCAAGGTTCTTCCGAGTGTCTGACCTTCTGTTTAGTGGGCTAGTGAGCCTGGAATGGAGGTACCTCGAGGCTCCAGGACACTGTTGAATAAGCCGAAGCTTCTTAAACTGGGTCTGACCCCCATACAGGGTCATGTGACTGCATATTGGAGCCTCAAAAATTTTTTGTTAACAGTAAAATATTTCTGGACACACAACACCAAAACCAAATTCAAAATCAAGCACGCTCGATTTGGAGGTGCTTCTGAAAGTGTTTGCCTGTGCTGCGCTGTGTGACTGCACCACAGCCTAGGTTCTGAACACTCCACCCATACATTCTGCACTGGACACAGTATCATGGAAAGCAAAGACACTGAATATTTTCCTGCAAGTATCACTCAGCTTTTAGGTATCAAGTTAGCATAACTTTGGATTGTATTGTGTTAGACAAACAAGCACATCCATCTCATTAGTAACCAATTTGCTTTCATCTTTAATAAATGGTTAAGATCCTACACACCAAAAAATTGATTAAGATAAATTGCTTTATGGTTTTATGATCAGCCAGTGTTTGACTTGTATGCCCATTGTATAAACATATCTTTGCAGATGTTTGGCTTGTATGTTTATTGCATACATTTGTATCCCTGGAGTCTCATAAAAAGTTTTTTAGGCAAAAGGTTCTTATGAGTGGAGAAGTTGAAGGCCTGGAGTAGGCAGCCAGGCCCAGCAGGGTGGTAGACAGGCACACTAGGAGTCCAGAAGGGCTCAGAGTGTCTCATGCCAGCTTTATCTCTGATATTGACTTGGATAGCCAGGCTTTTCAAAGCAGCATAGGCGATAACCTGCCTACCACCCAGATATCCCTTGAGAAGGTTTTTATGTGGGCAGTAGCCGTAAGGGCACAGATGATGGTCTTTATGTTTTGCAAAAGGGTGAAAAGTATTTCCCTAGACTGCAGTTGCCATGAAGGGCCAAAAAAAGGACACTCTTGCTTTGGATGTTACCAAAGTCTAGTTCTTCCATGGCTCCATCTTCGCTTCTGTACTCTGCATCAAGACCTTATCTGCTTGTTCTTGGGTAATTCTCAGTTCCACACACTTCCCAAGGAGAGGGCCTGTTCTAGGCTGCTCCTTGGGTCCATAGTTGAGGAGGATAAACACGCCTGCAGGCTAAACGAGAAGATCGCGAGACATATAATAAAGCAGCCATCATGGTGTATACTAGAAGGCAGTCATCATGAGAGTATTGAAAGTCAGCCATCATGGTTATACTAGAAGGTAGCAGTCTCTAATTTTTATTTAATTATGTTTCGTATGTGACGCTTATCATGCCATGTCTCTGATTCCTGCCAACAGCACATCTGTGATGGAGCAACCAGGACCAAATTTCTTCCTTGCCTTATGAAATCAGAAACTGCCACCCGATATACAAGATCATGATCATCAGTAGACACCATCAGTACAGGACAATGATCTCTAAGGAATGTGCTACCTATAGAGTGAGCTTCAGGTTGTGAAAACTGGATGCTGAGACACAACCCAGTCGGTTCCCCATGGGGACCAGGAAAGCCTATGACTTTGGCGAGTTGCTGACCTGAAGGTAACAGTGTGGGGAGACCTCAGGGGTCAGTGTTTGAGGACAGAAGAGCCAGGAGGAGCTCTGAAGGTCTACAGAGTCCCCTCTGGCCCCATCTTCATCTATCTGCACTTAATGCATGCAGGATCCACTTACTCTCCCTTGTCAAAGCTCTAAAAAGTGAGACTCAAAAGGACCTGTGGTTTTAACAATTCCTATTCCAGACAGAGATGAAGAATATTTATGTGTTTGGAAACAGCACTACGCCCAGCAAGGTGTCGCTCACGGTGTCTGGTAGTCACTCAAGACTTACCAGGCATGTAACATAGCAAGAAAGCGATCCACAAAGGGAAGAAAATTAATGGACCATAATCAATATGGAAGGCCAAGTATGAGGTATATCCAGCATTAGAAAGGCTGAGTTGGTGGCAGGGTGGGATCTCAGCAAGTTTGGTCTAGATAGACCAGGCTAGCCAGGGCTACAGTGTGCAATCCTGTCACAGACAAGCAGATACATACCAATTCAGGAATCATGAAATCATTAGACAAGGACATTAAAACAGTCATGCTCTGCATGGTAGAGTGAGGCCTAGGGTGCTCAGGAGAGACAGGGAAGAGAGAAAAAGGATGGAAGTCATGACTCCAGTGGGGTGACTTGAACAGGAGATTAGATACCTTGGAAGGAGACGCTGGCTAACAGAAAAGGTCTGAAAATGAAAACACAGACAGACTGGAAAAGATGGAACAGAGTTCTCAAGCCGTGGGACAACTTACAATATCTCATCACTTTCCAGGTTTGATATAAACTACAGGTCCACATGTGTAAGAACATAAGTGAGCCTCAAGCAAAGAAACACAAAGAACACACCAAAATGATATCAAGAACATGCCACCTGAAGCCAAAGGCAAGAAAAAACAAAACAAAACAAAAAACCCACAAAGGAAGGGGGAATCCATTAAAGAAAATGAGGACAATGTAAAACAGAAGACCAGAAAGTGGGGGTGGGTTGGGGGGGGGAATCCCAGATATCTAGAAGGCTCTACCCAAGAAAGTATCTTTGAAACCTTCAGGTGAGATATGGCACTTCCATAGATGCACTCCAACCCCCATGAATTCGGGATGAAGTCCCAGACTGCAGACAGTGTTAGAGGAGCCCTCTGAGGCAGGAGGCTGACTGATGGATGTATGGAAATACCAGAAAAGAAGAACGCCAAAGAGGCTAAGTAGGCAGCAAAGTAGAAAAGGTCTTCGCTAATTCTTAAAATGTGACAATGCATCGTGAAAGAAGACATTGTGGTTTATAACAAATGTCGAATTAAGATGCATAACATCAGTGTAAGATCAGGGGCAGGTTGTAATGGTGTGTTCACAGTTCTGGAATTGTAAGTGGTGTGATACAATTCAAAGGGAGACAGTACTAATGCTGAATTGTGTACTTATAAATACCTAAGCAGGACATCAACACAAAATCAAAACTGCAAAAAGACAGTAAAGGACATAGGTCAAGACGAACCAAGTTATATCAACAGTCACATTAAATATAAGTGATTCAAACACTGCAGTCTAGCAGCAGAGACTGCCAAAGGGAAGGAAGAAAGTGAGATTCACGTCTGTGTTTCCTGCATGAACTCTATTTGTGCTGAGGGCGGCAGTGCTCAGCTGAAGTCTGTACTCACAAGACTGAGGCAGGGAAATTGAGTTCAAGGTTAGCCTGGGCTACATTGTGAGATCTTGTTTAAAAATAAACAAAATAGGTGCTGGAGAGATGGCTCAGATGTTAGGAGTATTTGTTCTTGCAGAAGAGCCAGCTTGGATTCCTAGAGCTGACATGGTGGCTCACAACTGAATATAGCTCCATTTTGAGGGGTATCTGACAATTCTCTTCTGAATTCTGTGGGTGCCAGGCATGTATGCAGTGCACAGACAAAACACTCACACACATAAAATAAAAGAAGCTCCAGGGATTAGGATTCTACCAGTAAAACGAAAACAGCACATATTAAACCCATGGAAAGAAATAATGAGAACTAGAGGGCTGGTGAGGTGGCCAAGCAGTGAGGACATTTCTGTCAGGCTGGAAATGACCTGAGATCAACTCCCAAGATTCGCATGATGGAAGGAGAGAATGGAAAGTAAAACAGAAACAAAATAAAATAAAGAAATAGTGGCAATCAGGGTGGGGAGGATCTGGAATGAATTAAAACAGGGGAAAGAATATTATCAAAATATGCTGTATGAATAAAAAATTCAAAATTAAAAGTGATCCCCCTCCTTCCACACAAATAAAACCGAGTCCTGATACTGGTTTTTTTTGAAAAGCCAAATTATTGACAAATTCCTTGTGAGACTATTGAACCAGAAAAGCAAAAAAGAGAAGAGAGAAGGAATGAATTTAAGAGAGTGGTACATAACTATAGATCCTACAGTTGTTTGTAGGATGATGAGGAAATACCACAAATAACTTCACTCAAGCAAGATGACAACTTAAACAGACTGAACAAATCCCTTAAGGCCATAAAATCCTAACACTCATTCAAGAGGCAAATAACAAAGAATCTTATGATGAAACTTATTTTATAATGAAATTTCTTGCAGTGAAGATGTCATGCTTACTAGCTTCTCGCTTTTTACAAAGCTTTTGGGAGGAAAATACTGACATTCATCTAGAGAGCAGAAGAAAGAACACAGTCCAAGTCATTCTGTGAGATACTCAAGTCTCCTCCTCCATCTCCTCTTTCTGACAGGGTCTCACTGTTTAGCCGTAGCTGGTCTGTGGTCTGGAACTCTGCTTCTTGAGTGCTGGGATTAAAGGAATGTGCCACCACAGCTGGCCATCAATGAACTTGGAAAAAAAAAAAAAGGAAAGAATAGGCTCATACACTTCATCTACAGACACAAGCTTTCTAAAAAATAGAGAGAACTCATTAACCATCTCCAACTGGGGCTTCTCTTGAGAATGCAAGAAAATCGAAGTAACTTCCCCTGCCAACTGACTAAAGAAGAAAATCACAACCAACAGAGAACATGTTTGAAGAATGCAACCACTAAATTACAATAGAACTGAAAATTAGAAAAGCCTCCTCAAATGAACCTAGAGAATATAACCCCGACCCCAGCTCATATCACCTTTAACCGTGAAAGACAGGCTCTTTCCTTCCCAATTAAGAATGAGGCAAGGGCATATGGTCTTGTCATTCCATTAAACATTGCACTGTGGGAATGATGCTGCCTGCAGCGGAAGTGTCAATTAACAGTCAAGATAATTTCCCAACAAAGACATTCCTTCTGAGTCTGGGATTACAGGCAGGCTGCCATGGACACCCAGCATATCCATGGGTTTCTGAAGATCCAAGTTCTAGTCCTTATGCTTGCTAGACAAGTGCTCAAACCACTGAGCAACCAACCTCCCCAGACCAGAACAACTGATTTTTGACAAATATGTCAAAGCAATTCCAATAGAAAAGGAAGGCTGAATTTGCCAGTACATCCCACTGAAACACTCCAACATCCACCCGCAAACAAAACAAAACAAAACAAAACAAAACAAAACAAAACAAAACCCTATCTATATTTCAAA